TTGTTTGCCAGTCTACAATAATGAGCGGAAAGGAAAACGAAGTCCTAACTGGACTTAATTTACAACTCTTCCTCCCTCGGAACTTCAAAGGCAGCTGACAGGCGAATGGCGGCGAGGTCTGGTCCACATTGGACATGCTCAGATGAAAGCAGCAGCATCCCCTCCCCAGAACAGCCCTGAGGCCCGAGGACAGGATCCCAAGATGGTTTCCCTTCAGAAGAGCATGTAACACGGCTGTTTTTACTGTGACAGTGTCCTTTTATTTGGAAAAGGCATTGACAAGGACCTTCTCCACCCAAAGACTTCAAAGAAAACCTGCTCCAGAGAATTTATCTCACATGATGTCACTCTCTGCTATTTTTAGGCTAAAAATGACCATATTGGAGGTTCTTGGGGACCCTGGGGAAAAGTGCTACATAAATAAATGGATATAGTAGAGGTGAGGTTCTTAAATGGAAAGTGGATAAAAGCACTGCTTCTTTAAAGACACTTTTATTTTTTTAATTTTAATTTTTTTGAGTTAGGGTCTCACTCTGTCACCCAGGCTGAAGTACAGTGGCATGACTACGGCTCAGCACAGCCTCAACCTCCTGGGCTCAAACGATCCTTCCTCCTCAGTCTCCTGAGTAGCTGGGACTGTAGGCATATACCACCACACCCGGCTGATTTTTTTGTTTTTTTGTAGAGGCTGGTCTCGGACTCCTGGGCTCAAGCAATTTTCTCACCCCGGCTTCCCAAAGTGCTGGGATGACAGGTTTGAGGCCACCATGTCCAGCCAAACAACATTTTAAATAGATAGTTTAGAGAAAACTATACATTCAAGGGATATTTGGGAGACCGTGTCCTGATTGGTCTCAACCTGTAAATACCTCTGATTTTGTAGTTTCACTTAACATTTTCTAGTCAAAGATCTGATAAAAGCATCTCTAAGCATGCGCATGTTCCGGCTTAACGGTTCACAGTCTTTGTGTCTGCAAGTCAAGAATAAATAGCTGTCTTTATAACCTGTTGGCAAATGAGTCAAGGACCAGGCAGGGCAAATGTGACTCATATGACCCACTGCGGAGCCCTTTGGGAACCATGACCAAATTATAACCTAAAAAATTCCCAGAGCCGGGTTCAGTGGCTCAGCCTGCAATCCCGCGCCTTTGGGAGGCTGAGGTGAGTGGACTGCCTGAGCCCGCGAGTTCGAGACCTGCCTGGGCAAGCGAGACCTCATCTCTACAATAAACCAAAAAATTAGCCGGGTGTGGTAGCGCGCGCCTGTAATTTCGGCTACTCGGAAGGCTGAGGTGAAAGGATCACCAGAGCCCAGCAGGTCGAGGCTGCAGTGGCCAGGAGCGGCCACTGCACTCCAGTCTGGGCGACAGAGTGAGACTCCAACTCAAAACAAACAAACAAACAAAAACCTCCCAGTATGGGCCAGGAGTGGTGGCTCATGCCTGTCATCCCAGCACTTTGGGAGGCCAAGGTGGGAGGGTTACTTGAAGTCAGGAGTTTGAGACTAGTCTGGGCAAAAGAGTGAGATCTCAACTCCACAAAAATTTTTTAAAAATTAGCTGCAAGTGGTGGTGTACACCTATAGTCCCAGCTACTCGGGAGGTTGAGATGGGAGAATCCCTTGATCCCAGGAGGTCAAGGCTGCAGATAGCTATGATCACACCACTGTACTCCAGCTTGGGTGACAGAGTAAGACCCTGTCTCCAAAACAAAAAAAATCCTACCAATGTGGTGAGAATATTTTCAAGTGGAATTTCTGAAGATCAAACCAAATTGTTGCTCACCAGAAATTTACAGGAGTAACATGAGAAGGAGTGAGTGTATGCCAAGGGGATGGGGGAAGAAGAGGTGTAAGGAGCACACAGGAAGGGGTTATGGGGGAAGGGAGAAACAAAATGAAATATTCGTAGTATTAGGACACTGTGCTTAAAATAACCAATGTGCTGGGCATGGTGGCTCATGCCTATAATACCAACACTTTGGGAGGCTGAGGTGGGAGAATCACTGGAGCCTCGGAGTTTGAGACCAGCTTGCGCAACATAGTGAGACTCCATCTCTACAAAAAATAAGAAAATTAGCCAGGTATGGTGGTGCACACACCTATAGTCCTAGCTACTTGGGAGACTGAGGTAGAAGGATCGCCTGAGCCCAGGAGGTTGAGGTTATGATCTAGTCATTGCACTCCAGCCTGGGTGACAGAGTGAGACCCTGACTCAAAACAAACAAACAAAAAGCACCAACATAATGGTTCTGTCAGAGAATACCTAATGGGCCACAAGTGCCAACTATCCTCATTCTCAACAGAGCTTTTCTTCAGGCCTCCGACCACCCTAGACCCCTGAATCTATGTAGCGGCTTATTTAAAGTAACTTAATTTCTCCTTCCTAATCAGAGAGCAGCACCAACTATGATGTCATCTGTCAACCATTACACACCATGGACAAGGAAATACAATTGCATTTAATGAAAATTTAAGTTTTTTTAAAAAATGTATGCTTAGACCTCTTGTGGCCACAAAGAGGCCACACACACACACACACACACACACACACATACATGGAAGGCCAGGAGCCTCTCAACGTTGCCAAATGACTTTTCTCTTTCTAGACCTAAACATTTGACCCTATAAATTGACAGGAAAAAAAAAAAAGATCCAGGAACTTGAATGAGCACTAGGGTTGAGATACATTAGTAAGTTCTTAGATTTTTTTAACCTTTGGTTGATTATCTTGTTGCAAAAAACCAAGTCCCTAGATATATA